CGGGAAACAATTCGAAAAACCAGAAAATAACAGAATTGACAAACCAGAACATCACCAAAACAATTCTATGATAACGTGCTAACGTATCTAGAGAAAGACAAATTCCTTGTTACAATTCTCTTTGAATCGTGCGAGTTTAGTGTGATTAAAGAAAGGAAAATCGTTTTGATTTTTAACCTTGACTTTGTTCTAACTGATAAAAGTTTATTTTACAACCGCGTATTTACAAAGACTGGGACTTTTCTGTAATAAAATAGGTGGTTGTAAAACAAAATCTTATTCAGTTAAATTAAAGCGGACTTTAAAAATCGAAAATGACGAACATTTGCACAGAATTGAATGAATTTATAAAATAGTATGGTCAGTTTCTCTCGATCTGTATCTGTACCCTCGTCCAATAAGCTCAGACTGAGTTGTTTATCGGTCCGTAGACTTCAGTTCGGTATTTGCATATGCGTCAGTTAGCATGATGTACAAACTGTCTGTTTTAGATTTACAGCGAAAGTTTTGGTTTTGAAAGTATGGCCTTTTACAAATCGAACTTCAGAAGCTCAAGGTCGCTCCAATGAGCTTTGATAAACACCACCGATCGTGTTTTTCTAAATATCTTTTACTTAAAAAGTAATTTTCAAGTTCGAATCGCTTTCATGTGAGACGCGAATGGTTATTAACCAAGTGGAGGTAAAAATAAAAACATTTTTAAACTTTTTTAAATCTAACGAGGGAACCATTCAAAGTTGCAAATGACTTTTTCGATGAAATGTACTTGGTTATGCATGTACTAATGACTCAAAGTCAGTCATGTACTAATCGTCTTTCAAAGTCAGGGTCTCTACAGACCCTTCAAGAACTGTCTCCTGAGCCGGTTCTGATAGTGCCAGCTTGTAGAGCACATCAAGTTGTCTATGTGGAAAAGTTTCGAGAACTAACAAACAAGTTTTCGTTGAGTTAAGTTCTTTTTATTAGGAAAAATACCTCATTCACCCATATTCTGGCTGGTCGAAAAAAGAAAATTTTACAATTTAATGAAAACTTGTTTGTCAGTTGTCGAAACTATCCCACGCAGACAACTTGATATTCTCTATAATCTAGCATCGTCGGAACCTTGATGGGTCTCTAGAGATCCTAACTTTGAACAGGGGTTCTGAAAGACGATAAGGACACGAATGGATATTAGATTTATGATCAACATCAAAAAATTATGCATAACCAAGTATCTTTGATTGAAAAAGTGCGGCAGTTCCCTCGTAAAATGGAAAAGGATATTGAGTCTAAAATTGAGGAGGCCTTTAAATAGCTTATCTTGTCAAAGCTCTAAGCTTTGCCCAAGTTATATGCTCGTCGTGAAATATAGCACTCTTAATCAGATTTTTAACACACTTAGTCTGATCTCGAGTCTAAGCCAAAATATGCTGGAACTTTCGTTTCGAAACTTCAATGTTTTTCACAGTTATTTCGTCACCTTAGACTAAAAACTGTTTTTATTCTGTAGGCGATGTGTTTCTACACCTCCACAGAGTTGTCCTTATAATTCTGTGTAGAAGAAAATTTTCCGAAAATTGAGCTGAGCGGTTTCGTACTTCTGTGATAAAACCTAGGTGGGAGCACTCGAATCCTCATTTTCAAAAATAATTCTAAGAAAACATGAAATTTTTAGCTGAAATTGTATGGCTCTTGTAACTGATACTACGTAAATTTCCATAGTGATTAGATGTTCCGTGTTGAAAATCTGTCTTATTTCGATTTGATGAAGAATTTCCAAAGTTCATCACTAGCTCTCTCCCTTTTTGTTTGTCTATCTAAACAGAATGTATACCTTCGCATTCTGCTTTTTGTTCAACTACTCCACCATGGCTTGTCTGTCCACAGCCACGATTTCCTAACGATAATTTCGTCTTTTCATCATCACATGGAGAATCTAATGATGTTGAACCATTGAACTCATCACAAGGTAATTGATTTGTTGGACCAAAAGCCATCAGTAAATCTGAAAATAAATAATTAACTATCCGGGCATACAAGGTGAAAATCTTTTCAATTCAGAAGATGCGTACACAATTGGCACGTGGTGTCTATCAGCTTTTTCATAAACGCAAATACAGTTTTGCTCAAAACATATCCTTCGTATCACCTTTTTCTGCATGAGTAAGACATCTTCGAGGTTTTCTGTTTTCCTTTTTCAAGAATCAGGAGCAAAATGAAAAAGTTTCAACCGTAAATATCTGGCTTGTGAAAGTAATAGTTACTATGCAAATAAAAGTGTTATTTCGTTATTCAAACGAAATTACAACATCCATTTTCTCCTTTTCTGTTATATTTGACATGATGATAAGCAAAAATGACTAATTCATACATTTCAAGTACTTTCGACATCGATTCTTTCGAAGACATTAAAGCTGCCATTTTGTTTCGTGCAGGAAGCAAACTTATCAATCATCGTGCGCAAGGCGACAAGACAGCCGTATCGACGATCAGGCAGATTCGGCGACAAGGGCAAGTCCTGTGTTCGGTGGCAATTAGGGCTGTGTTGACATTCGCACAAGTCTATAGTACAAGAAAGAAGCCACAGTTGTGCAAGAGTTGCGCAAGAACAGAAAGAGGTGGAAAAACAACTGTAAAACAGAAAAGAAAGAAAGAAACAAGTGTTGCGCAAGTACAGGATTATGTAAGGATAGTACAAGAATACAATAAGTCACGAACGAAATGAATAAAAAGAAAGGAAAAGAAGAAGAGAACATAGTCTTATGAGCTGACAGAAATGGCAGATCATAACAGTTTTGACACAGTAATCTGAACTTTTCTCAAAAGGTGTAAGAGCTAGGAACTTCGTTCTTGTACCATTCGACGCAGGTCGCCATACTCTACTTTTGGTATAAAAATGAAGGTATGTGGTTAATGACTCGAATATTTAGAACCGTTTTTCGGCGCGTGACGCTATGACAAAAAAAGGCCCTAAATTCGAAGTTCTTCTCATTAAAAGCTAATTTGTTGCGCATTTAGAAGAGCTTATAAAAAGCTCCTCGAGCAAAGTTTGTAGAGGAGTAAACGAGCTACTGATTGCTAAAAAAGAATCTTTCCAATGAGCTTTCCATTCCTCAATAATTGTGTTTTATTATCGTGACGATGCGACACACTTTTCCCCAACAAACTTTGGAACGCTAAACATTGTTCAAAGGATTTCATTTTCACATCGGACTTAGTTTTAGCCATCTAATATAGACTAACGTAAAAATAAAGCGGAAAAGTGTTTTCACTTTCTTAGGATTGTGTGAGAATCTTAAAAATTAAAACTTTATCAAAAAGCTTGTTTTGAGTCTAAACTTCAAAAGAAACATACCATCTTGTAGAGAATCGAATTTTCTATCGATTAGGGTGGCCTCCCATTTTTATTAGGAAAAGTGTCTAGGTGAGAAAATTGAAAATACAGTTTTCAAAAAATGGAAAACTGGATTTTTCGTGCCAAAATTTAACTTTTTTAAAAGAATAAAGTGGATTTTTATCGTCTTTTTACAGCATTCGCGATTTTTTCACGGAGGCTCTTAATCTTCCTTTTTCTCTCTTTTTCCCATATTTTTCATAAGCTCATGCCATATAACTGAACTATCACGAACTCTATCCTTTTTTGAAAAAGTACGCTAAATTACAATACATATATGCATCAGCTAAGTGCATGGACTTAACTTAAGACCATGCGAGTAAGTTGCGCACTTAAATTTAAGTCGAACTTAAGTTTGACGTAGTGCAACACTTTGGGTTCGTCAACTTAAATCTGTCTCAAACTTAGATAAGACGTGGAGTTAAACATAGAGTTAAGTATATGACTTAAGAATTTTTGTGAAACGCTCAAAATTAAGCCTATACTCAGTTAAGAAAAAACGAAGACTTAAGTCTAGAGTTAGTTAAGTCCAGCACTTAAGAATTTTTATGAAACACCCGCCTGGACATACCATGAATTTTAAACTTCTCGTGTCAGAACAGGACAATTACGGGCCGTTTTGGACGGGTACAAGAACGCCCAGTACTTTTTTACGTAGTAACGGGACCCATACGAGGCGTCTTTTTGTGCACAAGAACGAGTTCAAGTATTGGGCAGCTTTTCTTTTTATCTTAGAACGGGTCATCGTACGGGCCGTTCTGGACGGATAGCAGTACGCCCAGCACTTTTCCATATAGGAACGGGTCGAGTATGCGGCGTCCCCTTGTGTATCAGAACGGGTTCATGTTCATGTTTGAGCCAAACGGAAAGTTTTTGAAAAATCTATTTGCTCAAAAATCCGTGCTATATGCATGGTTCAATTCGGTTTTCACGTGGATTCCAAATATCACCTCGTTTCTGTTTCAAACTCACACCTTTCTCGTGGAATTGAAATTGTTAGGACAATTTTTCCAGTTTCTTGCTACTGATTACATTCGGTGTCTAAGTTTCTTCATGAAGCTATCTTTGGAAACATTGTAAATTACTCCATCTTATACAGAATTATGCGCTCTACAAAATGCAACATATACTTCTATGCATAATTGAACCGTACATTATTTTTCCAAAAAATTAATCAGAACGGGCACAATAGTACTTGTGTATAACAATGTACCGGACGTTCGTTTGTTTGCGCAGACAATGTAATGGTTCGAACTAAGACTATGGAATTATTCATGTCATCTTTCTTTTCTTCGGACTAGTCTAGACGGGTATAGCGGACAAGGCAGATTAGTCATGACGCGTCGAAGAGACGCTCCAGACCAGTCTAGATGGATTATACGGACATTTGTTAAAAACTGGACTAGTCATGACGAGCGAAAGGGACGTTTCAGACTAGTCCTGACGGGATATATGGACATTTCGGACTAGTCATGACGGCCGTCTTTTTTTGCTTAGTAAGTAAGTAGTTTTTTGCTTACCTGGGTTCCGATTTATATGCGTCGTGAAAAGTTTTAATTTTCTCTAGTTCGATTTTATTATTTTGATAATATTTTAAACATGTTTCAATCATTTCTTGTCTTGCGTTCTTATCTCCATTTTTCTCCATCAAAAATCAACTTTTACAATAGCAATGTCATATTCGGGATCAGGATCAAAAACTGAGTCGACTAATGTGTATTTTACATTTTCAATTAAGTTTCAGAAGACTAAGAACTACGAGCAAAATTCTGACTTTTTCGGCTCTGATTGAGAAAAAATGAGTTTTTCCAGCAACCGAAAGGAATTTCAAAAACAGCGATACGTACTTTTATTCTACTTTCCAAGGCGGTTCAAATGGCGTCAGAATCAAGGCCCATCTCTTTACAGAATAATTAGTTAGGTTTGCGAGCGAATAGGGTAGAAATCGGAGCCCGCCAAAGTGTGACAAGAGATTCAACACTTCTGCATGACCCTGGACCCTTGATATATCCGTGTATGCAGTTTTTCACGCTGATTTCGAAAAATACTTCTGGAAGATTTCAGGATCACGTGGAACCGAGATGTCGTCTGATTTTTGAAAAGTCGTTGTTTTTCAAAAAAACGGATCCTCCAATATTTTGAATGTTTTTCATAGAAAACGTGCACCGGGAGGACTGAAAGCAAGATAGTCGGGTTCAGCATGAAAAGCTGCATCGAACCGTGTATCTTTAAGCCAAAAATAATATAGTGCTTTACGTTTGAATTTCGAGCGCTTTACAAGAAATGGTTTGTGGAGATTGGCACTGTCCTCAATATATCAACCTTCCCTACAAGTTTCTACTTGTCATAAACAATTAGAAAAACTATGATACATTACACGACAACCAAAAAAGTATGGATGCAGTCCACCTTTCAACAGACCTCGTTCAGCATCCGTTATGTAATATTCTAGACAACGTTTTACTTAAATACATAAAAAGTGAAAGTGATGGATTAAAATCAACTGTTTAGCAAATATCAATCGTACGTATGCAGAATGAGATTTTAAAAGACGCTTTTACAGGATTAAAAGAATCGAAGTAGACATTGGCTTGGCGGCTAAGTAATAGAGAGGATAATGATCCTTCATATCAGCAAAATTCGAAACAAAAGTAGGGCGTACTACCAAAAGCATTTTGCATCGGCTACATTATTCACGCAAGCAAAAAAATGGAGCTAGAATCAGGCGGTTGGAGCTAGGTAAACACGGTTTTCAACCCGGTTAAGCTAGCTCCACCTCAAAAAGTTTAAGCTAGGATCGGACGGTTGGGGAGGTTATCACCTAGGTTAACCGACCGATTGAGTTTGCACTGTCTCATCTAGCTCCAACCGCCCGCTTAATCGACCGGTTAATCTGGTTCCCGGTATCAAATAGATCAAACAGAAGGCGGTTATCACCTAGGTTAACCGCCCTAGAGAAGAATTTTTTGCTAAAACTGATAGGATTCTTATAAGAATCTTATCAGTTTCTTATATAAGATTGTTTAAGATTTCCCATCGACAGTCGTAAGTGTCTTATAAGAATCTT